CTGAAGGTGTCAGATGGAGGGAAGTACATATGTGCTGTTTTAAAATACAGTGAGATGACTTCTACGGATGATGATATAGATAATGATGGAAAAGGTACCAGAGAAAATGAAACCAGCAATAAACACCCGTGGATCAATCCACCAATATGCATTTTTAAGCAGGAGATCAGTCTGATCATATTAGTCAACAGTGCCAGTAATGCTACTGCATATGCTGTGGGGGCAGGACTGGTGGTGCTGCTGGTGGTAGTTGGAGTCATTGTTACAGTGATAGTAATAAAGAAAAAAGCAAAGCCTTTGCCATTGCAGAGAAAAGTGACATCAAATGTAAAAATGGATATGGATCCTGGCTGTACTGAGAAGTTAACTCTGTCTAGTGCTCAATAGCCTTTGTAAAATAGCTCCATTGTGACTTAACATCCACCTGACACATGCTGTGCTGTAGAATCTGTAGATAAATCAAATGTGTTGCTATTTTCACCTGTTGTCTACCATGAGAAGACTGTTTTTAGACATTTTTTTAACTTAATGTAATGTAAGAACATCGATCAGATCATTGCGATGAAAGAATTAAAGGCAGCTAATTTGTTGGTTACATGGTTACATTAGCACTATAGTCTGAAGTCATTCACAATAAATATATTAGTAATGATACACTACTAATAAATAATGAAACAACACACCAAGGACTTTATAGTACAACCCTCCAGTGTTCTTAAACAATTCACATTTCTGCACTTCTAAATTCTGTCTCGTTTCTCATCTCATTTGTTGCAGTGAGGAACTTCACTTGTTTGACTTGCAGCCATCACCTCACTGTCACTTTTAGCAATGTTGGCTACTACATTGTAGGTTCTACCAAGTCTAAGTCAGACCTTAATGCCTGATTTAAACTATTTCAGGAAGCCGTTGTAGAAACATAGTTAAGAAGCCAACGTTTTTGGCCTCATTTATGCTTGTGTGCGGTTACGTGTGTGGTTGTGTCTCTGTGTTTTATGTGCGGTGCTAGCCAATAGAAAAAAAGATGAGGAAAAGGCAAGGCAGGCATATTTGTCAATTAGGGTTTTTTTCTTCTTTGTACATTACCTCAAGTCCATTTCAGTAGTTTCAGCACTCTCCTTCCAGGAATCTATTGACATTTGTGAATTCATATACTGATGATATAATATTATTTTTTTTACACTGAGGTGATGATTGTTGTTCTCTCACTGATAAATTAAAAACTGCAGCATAACAATACTTGGAAATGCATGAGAAAAATCAGCTGTACTGAAGTGGGCTGCATCGACCTGACGCTTAGTTACATTTGTTGGGAGGTGTACATCGGGTTATGGAATAGTCCCTCCGAATCACAGGATGCTGCTGTTGCTAGCAGCGGTCGCAGAGAAGTACCAGAAAAGAGAAAGAGGTACGTACAACAGCGTGAGCAAGAGACAGAGGAAGGTGTAATGTGGTAATAATTTAGATGGAGGGACATAATTGGGAAGGGGAGAAATTCAAATAAAATGAATGGCTACTTTGACTATAAGCCACTTCTAATAGCTTAAGTGTAGCTTGTAATTGTCAAATTCTGCAGGACATCAGTTGTTTGGTTTTTCTTTTTCTTTTTTGTTTTTTAAGCAAGAGTGGTGTATTTAAAACAAACATAATATATATATCACAAGTCTACTCATGTGACATTTCTGGCTACCTGATAACCATGAGTCAAACATCCATTGTCCTCTCTGCTCCTTTCTGTTCTTCACAAAATCTATAGGAAATATCAGTCTCTTTAGCAGCTAAATGCTGTTTGGTTTGTTGTTTGGTGCTGAACACAGCGTGCAGTGGGCCTGGTGGGGATATTTTTCTTCTTTTACTGGAAACAACTTCTTCTGGTTAAGATATTAAAGAAAGAAATGAGAATGGACCAAAACATTTAAGCAGCAGGCAGTGAAACCAATGACCGACGTACATCATGCAAACGACACTTCATTGGTAATCCAGTGATTCCCAGTGCATCAATCACCTTTTACCATCTATATCTAAGCTGTAATTATCACAGCCGTCTGGTCGGTGTGTGGAGTGTACCCAAACGCAGACAAACAACCAGGCGTGAAAACGAACTTAATTGAAACCAAAAGCGAGACATTTTATTAAGGCTGAACAGAACAGAGAAATGAAAAGACAGGAAAGAGCTAAACTATAACTGAACTGGGAAAAGCTAAACTAAACTCTAAACACAAAATGCAGAACAAAAAAACCTGGATACGGGAAACTTGACCTGACAAAGAAAAGAGGGAAACTGACCGGGTAGGTTGGGTGAGTCCTTCAAAGCATACCCCTGAATTTTGACACAGCCAATAAATACACAGAGGGGTGATGAGGGAAGTGGAAACACATGGGAACACCCCTGGGACGAATAGACATAATGACACAG